CCTATAAGTATGATATAGACCATTCTTTTTTAGAATTAATGATGTGTTAAGATGTCATCGGTAGGATGGCATTGGTTTGTACACGTCACTACCACATTTGAGGCCTATGGGGACGGTTGTGAACCGTCACCCTAGGCATGGAAACCGTCACACTAGGCCTATGGGGACGGTTCTACATCCGTCTCGTTTGCAGCCGTGCCCGTAGGTCTAATGGGACGGTTTATGCTCCTAGTGCAACGATTTGTAAACCCTCCCCAATAGTACCATAAGGGAACGGTTGTGCTAAGGGGTCGGTTCTTAGTTTAGAGCAAGTGGAACGGTTGTATATCAAGGGGAACGGTTTTTAGGTTCTAAGCAACGGGAACGGCTTGATAGCAAGGGGAACGGTTTTTAGGTTCTAAGCAATGGGAACAATTTGATAGCAAGGGGAACGGTTTCTATAGGGACGGTTTTTATACCAAGGGGTACGATTTTGAGCTTGACCTAAGAGGACAGTTATATTGTCTATGGGAACGGTTTTGTTTGTGATCTATGAGGATGATTTTTATACCAAAGTGGACGGTTTACATTTTTTACTGATCAAAACAAATCACCCAGATATCACACATCAGTCCATCACATACAAAGAAACAATAGTTCAAGTTTTACACACAAACTAACCAAACTTTAGCTAATATAATGAACAATTCATTACAACGAACAACAATATTATAGCAATAGGATTGAGATACTTCTTCACAAGTTTTACACACAAACTAACCAAATTAAGCACATATCACAAATCCTCCATGATTAAAACAAAAAACTACTACTTAATCAAAATGTCTCTATTGAGACGATTAGGTTCTAAATCTGCATAACAAATAAATCCCCCAAAGAGCGACAAGCATGGATCTTCAGATGTTTTCCTGCATACATCAAGATAATGAGTAAGCACAAGTAGAATGAAATGGACTGTATGTGTCTCTTTAGAGTCATAACTTATTGCATGACGATCATATTTAGGAATATAATGAAATTAAGAGTAAGCACAAGTAGAATAGAAGAGACACGGATGGTAGAAGGATAAAGGATTAAAACTTGCTGTAGAGTCTACAATTCAACTGACGAGGCAATTTTAAAACATTTTCCTAGCAGCAGATGTTTATAACTTGAAGACTGTCTACTTCGATGTACATATGCTCAGATTTTTTTCTTTTTCAACAATATAAATAAATTTTACAGTCTTTTCCAACTCCTATGAGCATTAGGAATTAATTTTACCTTTTCACCTGGAGTTTGTAATGTAAGACCATCTTAAAGATATAAAACTATCCGTGGCATAGTCCTTTTGCTTGCTAACACAAAAATAAGATTACTTCATATATTGATGATTCATATTATCATTTTCAAATCTAACTGATGTATTCCTCTGAATATACGGCCTGTCTGACTACTCACATACTAACTTGGGTAAGGGTTTAGAATGTTCCGGGCAACCTAAACTATAGCTTACCTATATTCCTTTAGTGACCTCAAAAACATCTCTGTGAAACTTGTACTGTTTTTAATCTTAAGCAGATTTGCTAGATAGCTATCTCATTCCTTCGATATGTTTATGGCTTATTTCAATTATGTATATTTTGTTTCATTTATTCATATCTATTTCAATTATGTATAGCTTACCCTATACCACGTCATTGTCAAATAGGAAATGAGTGCTGATAGATAAAAGCTATGCTTCTCTAAGTATGTGGTCTATAATTGACATGGGTGTGTATCAAGAAACACTACACTGCAAATCATGATATACGTAAACAAGTAATGATAACTGGAGCCTATAACTCTTATAGGTACACTGTATTACTACCATGGACCGCCCAAACCCCTATCATACTTTTTGACATTTTCATAGCAAGTCATGAGATAGGTAAACAAGAAACCATAAACGAGCCTATAACTCCTGTAAGTATGAATTCAATAATTTAGTTGATATGCATGTTATATGAAACACCATATAAATCTTGATCAAAACTTAATCATCAATAGCATCAATAAAACACCATATAATCATCTGAAGATGAGGAAAAACTTTATATTTAGTTGATATGCATGTTATATGAAAATTAGGACCTAAAAAGCAATATATGAATATTAATATTTAGTTGATATGACATATACTTACTATCAAATTGATTGTTTTCTCTCCTTGTGGTTTTATCTTCTTTTTATGGGTCTGATCAATAAACATTTCAGCTTCACTTGGAGATCTTCCCAACTCATTTTCCTATAATAAAGACATGATAGTTAAAATATTAATAATTACATTAACAACGAACAAAAAAAAGGATGCAATTAATAAATAATATTAAACAAAAACAATTGAAATACTAATTTTTTGCGAATCCTGGCAAAACTTATTGACCCCATCGTGTGTACATATTCTTGACCTTCACGATTTGCTTTGTTGGTCTCACTTGTTGTCTACACAATCAGAAGGAACATGGATTTAAAAAACAACCAGACCATTAGTAACTTGCATGCAACTAATTATACAACTAAGAATCAATCAATATAGAACAAAGTTTCAAGTATTGGCCGATACTTGAAAGTACCTAATTTGATGCTATAGAGGCTGTCAACAACCTTTTGGCTACAGAAACTAAAAGGACGTCTTAAAAAGGGAAACATACTGATGATATAAAAAGAAAAGACCAAACAGAAACTAAAAGGAAAACTGTCAAGAGGCCTAAACCAAATATAAAACCCCATTAACTCCATAGCTCCTAAAATACCCAACACAAATTTTAGAAAAGAAACTAATGCAGATAGAAGTCAATCCCACCAGTTAATAACTGCAGCCTTCAAGACAGAAATCTCATTTGCAAGTGACTTCCAATAAACTCAATGAAATTTTCTTCCTTGTTGAATCCCTTTGGCTATAGCTATTAAGAAAACTAACATTGACGAGACACAATGTGGCTTGGGGCTGTCTTTTGGTAATGGTTAAAAAAAAATTAGTTTATACATCACCAAAATTAAAAAATAACTTAAATGGGAATTCTACATGGTATACCTGTACAAAATGAACAATGTGTCTTTTCTTCTATGATGGTGGCAGTGGTATGTTGGGTGGTTGGATTTTTTTTTTTTTATTTTTTTTGGTAGGGGGGGGCGGGGGGTCCCTTAACAATGCGCACTTTTAGATGGAGTGGGGGGGTCCCTGAACAATGCGCACTTTTAGATGGATCATACAAACTGAATATCAACTCTATTGATCTTAATCTACAGCATGTAGAACTCTCAAACAAAAGAACTAACTGATTTTGAAGTTTATAGCTCGCAATAGCATAAAATAAGAACAGTTACAACAGAAAGATGTGTTTAAGGCATATATTGTTCCAAAACCATACAAACTGACAGAAATATAGGATATAATTCTTAAGTAGCAAAAAAATATATAATAGTCAGACTAAAAATTAGCAAACACAACTTCATGAGCTCTAGCAAAACAGCAAAAGCATAAAAATAAGAAATATCTGATTTTGAAGTTTAAAGCTTGGAAAAGCATAAATAAGAACTGTTTCAGTATAGAAAGATGTGTCTTAAGGCATATTATGTTTCAAAAGCATTTGAACTGACCAAAATATAGGATATAGTGCTTCTAGTAGCAAAAAGAACTAGAAGCTGATCAGGTCAAGAATAAAATATAACAGCAACATTCTAATGATCATAATACCACCAAGCTTCTTGAAAACATGCGTGAAACAAATAATGTAGAGAAGAGTGCTTGCTGTGAAGCATATTTGTTGATTGCACGCTTAGAGGTGCAACATGCACTATTAGAACTTTTTGTTTACCAATTTGAGATATTGATGTAGGAACAAAAAGTGACTTGGATTATTGTGAAAGTAATATAATATTTTTAACCATTTCTTTCAATTCTTCCCCAGTATATCCATTAATAGATGTTCTTCTTAAATCTTCCCAGTCGTTAAATACAGAGCATCCTATTTTTCTTTTCCATATGGCGTGAAAAGTGTCTGGATCATAGGATATGGGTGTTTGAGTGTCATGTGTTTTCCAAGTATCCAACATGGCAAAAATTTTATAAGGTGAAGTGTCCTGATAACACTAATTTGAAGTGAGTTCCTTTACCTTGTCTTCTCCAAGTTCCTCCACTAGCTAAAATTTGGTAAGGACTAAAATGAACATTGAATAAGTATCCTGAAAAAACTTATCAATTTTGTAACTGTCAGGTACCAATTACTAGCCCCTTCTCCGCATATCAAGAATTGTTTCTCTGCACTTCATTTCCCCCTGCCACTTGAAGAACACTATACAGCTAAGTCCAGGAGGCTTAAATTAGCATTACCAGTGAAAAACCACATGCTCAGGTGAAATACTTCATTTTTCTCTTTCTGTAATATAAGAGAAATCAATAAAGGAAACCATTTAGTCTTTTACTGTATATTTCAACAATTATGTGATATTTTTCATTTATTTCCCTCATTGATGAGAAGCCAAAAGCATTTTAGGCTTGTGTTCAGATTAGATTCTAAATCTCTAAGCATAGAAGAAAGCAGCCTACTCTTAGTTATGGTATCAAGAAAATCCTGTGTAATAAAATTGTAGATTTTTCATTTACTTTGCTTTTTACAGTACAAATAATAAAATTGTAGATTTTTCATTTACTTTGCTTTTTACAGTACAAAAACATGATGGAATCTTTCCTACCACTTGGGCAGTGAGTTGTATAACATGGCATAAATGAGTTGTTTTACCCAAAACTATTCTAAAGACATAGATAATATCATTATACTACAAACCTGAAGACTATTGGACAATAATCTTTCCACTGGTGTTAGTTGGGAACCTGCTTTAGGAAAATCCTTCCAAAAGCTAATTGAAATAGAATAATTCTAAAAGTCTATGCACAAACAACGTTCTAATTTCAACAAGATTATGAAAAAATTTATCTAAATTTGAGGATTTACATTGTCATGTATTCATGGGGTACCCAAAACCAGAGCCCGCTTCGTCCCCAAGCCCCTCACAACTGGCGAAGCCACCACTGAGAACAGAGTGAACGAAGTGTAAAGTATCCCCATCAACGTTGTTCCAAGGTCCCCCTTCTGTGATCTCCCACAAACAAAAAACAACAATCAACACGGACCAATTCGTGATCAATCAAAGGACAGAGCAGAGGGGCTCACGGTGTTGACAGTGCTCTCGAGATTCTGAGCAGCACCGTAAGCACAGAAGATGAAGAATAAAGATAAACTTAATATGTGAGCATCTCGGGCATGGCTCTTCGAAGAGGACTGACCCACTTCGGCCAAAGGGTCGTCCTCAATCGCAACAACAAGAGACCTCGCTTCATCCCCTTGATTATGATTCATTGGTAAGCTCTCCTCTATCTTCACTCAATTTGGGCAAAGTTTCAGAGAGCAACAAAACCCTAATCCAGCTGCTCCCTACAATAGATCTTCAACAAATCTGCCCCTAATCGAACACATCGAAATAAAAATAACAATTTCAGTAAGAGGGGGGAAACAACAAACATTGGGGGAGAACGGAGCGTTGATCTTCTTGGTCCTGGAGTAGGTCTTCTTCTTCCTCTTCTTAGCGCCACCGCGGAGGCGGAGGATGAGGTGGAGCGTCAACTACTTCTGGATGTTGTAATCGGCCAGGGTCCGGCCATCCTCGACCTGCTTTCCTACGAAAATGAGCCGTTGCTGATCCGGAGGGATCTCGACACCATCGAGGTCGGCGTGGAGATGTGTGGGAAGTTCGAGCGGAGGAGGATGAGACGCAAAGGAGGAGATTGGGAGATGGCTGAATGAAGAATTGGGGATTTGAATGGGTTTTAGGGTTTTTACGGAGCGGTCAAATGAAAATTTAGGGGGGAAATTGTGGCGCTCGGTCTTAAAATCAGAAATGAAAATGTGCGGGATCCGTCCCCCTAGCTCCTTGCATAATTTAGCCCCAAGCCTAATTCAAACTCAACGCTTTATTTTAAAGCGTTGTCTTAGATTCTATTGTGACGATTAGAACCGTCACAAAACTGTTCCCTTAGACAGTTAAGGGGACGGTTTAAAACCGTCCCCACCGAACCGTCCTCGTAGACCTATTTTGTGGTAGTGCGTGCGATGCTTGAGGACGGAGATTTTTTTTTAGGCTGAAAATTTCAGAGGCAGTGTAAACTGTATAGAATTCACCTCAGCATTGTATATATATTTCTTTCTTTTTGTGTTTATGCAGTTTCTTGCATACGTAAGTATTTATGTCTAGTTATTGTTTCTTTGTTTGCATATGTTTTTTGGGGTAAGGATCTTGTAAGGTCTAAGGCTTTCACATTTAGATCCTGCATGATCTCTACAATATGAAAATGTGTAACACTTACTCAAATTGTAATATAGTATTTCCACATTGTAAATAAACTTCATCTTGACCTTTCATGTCTTCGCCTGGTGCTAATTCATTTTTATGTGAATGGTTCTGTGATCCATTTCTCCTTTTTGACAGTATCATTCTACTTTTTTCTTCAGTGTAATATTGGCATAAATAGCAGTTTTTTTTTTATCATGAGATTTGTAGAAAACATTGCTAACACTCATGACTCTGTATTTATGCAATCATTCCCAATTGTAATCGGAGGTGAAGGGACATTTTTGGATGAAATTTAGTAGTGAATTGCATCTATTTTGAATTAGGGGTCAAGTGGAAGTCACATTAAGCCCTCTCTTCAAGCTCAACACAGTATTGAACCTTAAACATCGTTCATGCTATAATAACTTTCAGACTTAATAACACTATTTTCTCTGTCATTTTTATTTTTCATTTTTATCCTAAAAAGGTGCTTTTTATGATAAAGCAAAATTTTTGGCCCTTCATCTACTATTCAAGCAAAAGTAAAAATTTTTACCATGAAAACGTTGTTCATATTGACTATTTTTTCTATTCTTGTAGGGGATGATTTGAACCTTTATCAGATATTTCACAAATATAGATCTTTTTTAATTATATCAAAGAAAATTGGTAAAAATTGATAAAACTTAATAAAAGAGGAGGAGCCTCACTCTCATCTTAAGCTCCATTCCACTAGTTAACTGTTGATGCCGACAGGTCTAAGACCTTGTTTATTATTGTTGACAATATAGTTTCTGACGATATGTCTAAACATGCAAAAACCAGTGCACCTTTGTAGCATAAGTTGTCTATTTTGATTTAGGGGTCTTCTAACAATCTCATACATATCTTACATATCTATATGTAAAATTGTAGGAATACTATTGTCTTGAGGATTACCTAGCAGCATGGCACTATGTTTTCAACATAAAAGTTAAGTCTGTGCTCAAACAATGGCGGCATGAGCTGAAAGTATCAGTATATGATAAATATACAATAGATTGGCAGAGATTTTTAAATGTCGATGATAGGGTGGACCTCGATCATTTTACGGCTCTTCTTTTCTATTGGGATATCGAGTCAGCACAAGTATTCATCATTTTCATTTTGCTTACTAACAAAGATTATAGAAACATTTCATCTTTAGTAATAATTTTTTTTGGTAGAATAAATCTAAGAAGGGCTAGACGAATCGACATAGTAAGCGCAAGCTTGACCACCACTTGGGGTCGACGTCGTTTGCCAATCTTGAGTATGGTTATTGTCGAGACATGGTATAATATTTAAAGTTTTGTATTCACATGCTACATTTATCCATATGACCAAACTCTTTTAATTTCTTATAATTTGTAGGGGAAACCGATAATGCCGATCAATTTGAAGGCAAAGTCAGCTTACGATACATATCGCTCGACTTATAAAGATGAAGTCAAGATTAAGGAAAACATGTGGTAAAATTTTTCAATAATTTATTAGATATAAGTATTCTGTTGATGTTCATTTCATTATTTGCTGATCAATTATATGTTTTTTCTTTATGTGATTTAGGATAATATTGATGCTGCATCAAAGGAGGTAGCACTACGTGCTACTCAAGATGCTGCTGATGACCCTCATATCCTGTCTAGAGATGAAAATGACGCCATTGCTATGAATGTTATGGGGTATAATAATCAGGGTTGGTTTCCATTGATGGGGGTCGGAACTATGTGGGGTACCTCCAGAATATCCTCCATGACGTCCTCACCAACCTCGACCACGATAGGATCCACAACAAGAAGTCCTACCACTTCTTCAATTTTATGTGTCTCGTGTTATCTGAGTGGTAAGATTGACTCTATATTACTAATGCAACTGACGAAGGCTATGTTTTCATATTTGCCACCATCCCCCACTAGCGACGATGTTTTTACACACATCGTATTATGCTTGTCCGATAAGATTCTAGCTAAATTATTTGGAGAAGTTTTGGCCCTATAGATTTAGACACTGGCGCACAGGTATATTGATAATATATGTGTTCTATTGTTAAATTTTATACTCTAAAATTCAATCTATTTATTTTTAGGTTGGACTTACTGGTGGAAGTAGTAGTGGCGTGCAGAGGATGGATATTGACGATGACGATGACTCGTGATTTTCTGTGGTAAGTTAGTGATTTGTATGTCTATTACTTTAATTCGTTCCTTTAAAATGTTACCACTTTGTGGAGCATGAGTTAACATTTCTTCTCGCTCTTGTAATCCACTAATACTAATTATCTCATTTAATCTCATTTAATCAAATCTATACACCTTGATATGACAAGAACTCATTGACAGAAGGTAACTCATTCTACATATGGCAATCGAACTATTTGTAACTACACATAAGAAGCAATATTCTCCATCTTCTACATTGTTTTGCTAATTTGTCAATTATCAAAGGGCTCGGATTTGAAAATCTCATAACAAGTGTGATGACAAACAATGTTGACATACCTACATGGTCCCTTACAGCAAACGGGAGTTTCTCGGTCAAATCTCACTATGTTTTCCTAAACTCCAGAGGAATTTTTTCTGCTTTTTATAAAACTATTTGGAATCCAGTTATGCCGAGTAAATTCCAGTTCTTCACATGGCTTTTATCTAAAAACAGACTACACATAAAAAAATAATCTTACAAAGAAAGGATGGCAAGGTGACTCTACGTGCATATTATGTGGTATACATCTTGAATCGTGTGATCACTTAGTCTTTGAATGCAGTCTCACCAGAACAGTGTGGAAACATTTCAGTGACTTCTATCTCCCTTTCATGTGGCCAACGTCTTTATATGGACTTCTCATGTCTGTTGAATTTCTTCGTAATACTGATGGAGTTTTATGGAGATCGGTTTTCACTGCAGTATGCTGGAGCTTATGGACTTCAAGAAATAAATTTCTCTTTGAAAACACTTTGTTCTCTGCTTCAACTATCATTAACTCAGCGATTTCTGTTTTATATGAATGGTCAGGTTCTGGAAGAGGGAAGATGGCACTTAAGCTAGCAGCGGTTTTAGAAGAGAGACCAATCTTGCGGAGCAACAGTGTTTAGCTTATAAATATCGGTTTATTTTCAGTAGTTTACGATGTTGTCTGTACATAACATATTTTTGGTGTTATGTTGTGAGTTTCAATTAGTCTATAGAAAACTTAATTTCTCTTGACCAAATGTATGGCTGGCTTTGGTTCTTGCATACATCCATGTCAATGGTGAATGACGGCAAGTCCCTCTCTTCATCTTCATGGATGTTTGTAAGAAGAAGGTCCTACATCCCTAGCAAGAGAAATTATTCTTCCTATCTACTAATTTCTATGGATACAGATCGTATCCTTTTTTTTAAACATACTTTTGTTTTTAATGAACAAGGAATACCCCTTGTTTTTCTCTAAAAAAAAAGTGTGATGACAAACAAGAACACAAGTTGACCTTGTACTTTGTTTTACAAGTTCATCAAAGTATTTTTCGTATATTTTCTGGGTGCAGATTGAGCTATGGTATAAAACCATATGTATTGATCTTGTTCTTCTAGAATATATTTGTAAAATAGCATTGGATAAATGAATTTTATTTGATTACTTATTGAAGTAGGGATGAGCAAATAATTAGTTTGGTCTTTTGACTTTTTTTGTTAAAGTGAAATAAACTGAATTACATTTAAAACCGAGTCGGACTGAATGAAATAGGTTTAGTATGGTTCTGGCTGATTTGTTTAGTTTGGTCCTAGACATGTCAAGTTAGAGAAACTTTAACTAAAAGACAAGATTATTACTCTTTAAAACCTTTCATTCATCTCATATTCCTAAATAAAGAGAAAACTCATGAAATTAACTAATTTACAAATTAAAATCGAACATTTATCAATTAAGATACATAGATATATAAGTATGAATTATTTATCTATCTTGAAAGAGTGAGTTTTTGACAATTAGTTTTGAAAATGGTTGAGTTAGTTATTTCAGTTCAAATATTTTAAAGCCAATTCTGTCATTTTTAGTCGTTTAATCTGTTTGCATCAAATAGCGTTCCCCCAATTACTAAGTGTAGGAAGGTAGAGCCATAGTCTGATAAATATATGCGTGTAGTTGGTGGTTTTAGTTTAGTAACGAATAGAAAGATCCAATAAAATAGTCGAACCGTACTTTCTTAATTTGGTATGTTTTAGATCCTAAAGTCA